TACAGCTGTGTTCACGCAACAGGCTCACTTCGACTCTCGAAGACCAATGTACATGATGTCAACACCATAGCCGACCTCTCTTCATGCACCAGGTACATCTCGTCACCCTCATCAGACCTTGATACCTGTCTCTTATACACATCTAGATGTGTATAAGAGACAGAGAAGAGACAAACAGACAGACTCTCCATCTTCTCCTCGTTCTCGTCTGGACCTCCATATCCACCTCCTCTGTCCTACTACTTGTGTGTGTGTGTGTGTGTGTGTGAGAGAGAGAGAGAGAGAGAGAGAGAGAGAGAGAGAGAGAGAGAGAGAGAGAGAGAGAGAGAGAGAGAGAGAGAGAGAGAGAGAGATGTGTACAATCACTCTTATGTGTCCAGTATGTCCAGAGTAAAAAGAGAGGACTCAACTGTGAAGGCCTCAGCTGTGAAGACTCTTTGGGGAAGGGTCCAGTGAATGTTGGGCATGTGCTGTGGGTGTTTTGCCCTTTGCAGGGATCGAAGAAGAGGATCTGAAGATAGCGTTCACCATGGGCATCAACAAGGGCTCTCTTGTGGATGAACATGTATGCTTCTGAGAGGAAACTCCAGAAGCTAGCACTGATGTAATTCTCGAGGGTGTCCTTGATCGGCAGGCACAACTTTTATAGACCTAGGCCTAGGCAGGCACATCTGCTATAGACGTAGCCCTAGGCAGGCACATCTGCTATAGACCTAGGCCTAGGCAGGCACATCAGATTCTGCAATAGACCTAGGCCTAGGCAGGCACATCAGATTCTGCTATAGACCTAGGCAGAAAGGAGAATTCTCGATCATTGGGGTTTTCATACTTGGTTAGAGGTTTTCAACTATAACGCCGCAATCTCCTTTGCCATGGTGGCGACAATCCCCCGTAGCACTTGCTGATGTCTCCAAAGCGTTGGCTCATGGAATCACGGTATGGAATTACGTAACAATAACGGAGAGGCCCGAAACATTTTTACTGAGTCTGGGGATGCAGTTGGCTTTTCACTGTGGTCGACTTGTTTCGTCTAGAAAAAAATGTAGAATGCGTCCTCTACTCGGTAGTTCAGTAGCAGGCTTGTTTGGTCGCTTTCTTCGTCGCTCGAGGGGCTGCCGTGGTAACAACCACCACTTGTGTTTCAATTTCTTCAGGTCACTGTTTCATAGCTTTTTATGAGGTTGCACGGGGAGCCAGCTGAGAGTGCTTGTTATATCAAATTTGGCACCATGGATTTTGTCAGAAATGTTTGATTTTCTGTTTGATACTCTGACTGACTGTGGTTATGTTTAATTGAGGTCACTTTTGCCAGTAGTTTAGTTTATAACTTCATCGTTTATTCAATCTCATATATGTCTGAGGATCCACTGAGTAAGTGGACTTCTTTTGTGGGAAAGAGAGAGAGGTCACCCTTACGGTATTGCACAAGGCAGAAGGTTGTGCTCACTTATGCTTCTACAACTCGAAGCTGGTTTGCAGTCGGTTTTTAGGATTTCATGCGCATGCAGAGCCCATTCTCCCAATCTGCCCAAACCTTCCTTTTTTTCTTTTCTTTTCTTTTTCTCTTAACAGGAAAGCCAGGCCAGCGTCACTAGGGAAGGTGATATGAGCAGCCTCCCCTAGTGTGCTATCCGGTTGCTCCAACCTATTGGTGGGGACACTGGGGAGCCACACCTGCTGGAAAACGGGTCCAGCATCCCTTCCGAACCATTGATAAACAGCAGAAGGACTGCGAAGAAAAGTGAGAATCTGGCTGCCAGCATTGACTGGCCCAGTGAGACTAGTGAGACTGGGGGGTTAGCTGAGCAGCTGCTAAGTACTATGTGAAATGCTCTCTTTTTTTTTTTCTTTTTTTTTTTTTTAAGTGCCCTCATTCTATATAAGACATAATGATATATGGAATTAGCCTGTTTTTTCTTTTTTCTTTTTTCTTTTTTCCTTTTTTTACGGGTGCGTCATGTTCCTGCTGTGAGCCCAGGGACCGTCATTACGTCAGTCTGTTGGCTTGGACCCCTGTCGCTGGCCATATTGGGTCCCATCGATCATCATGAATGACAGTGTTCATTATAGTAACTCAGTCAGTGGTAACACTCTGTGTGCGTGTGTTGTCCTGTTCTGCGTGTTTGTGTGTTAAAAATCATATCCCAAGGCGTGCTCGCCACAAACCCCACCCAAAAATTACAGGGGTACAACAAGCCCTGGTCATATCCTAATTAATGCAAGTGTGATGACCCGTCCAAACATGGACTGAAACACACAGCTGACTTCTGAGTTTTGCCCATAGACTGAATGCCCTGCTGAGTTTCCCGCTTGCTACTAAGTTTGTGTGTGCACGCTTGCTGGACTGCATGTCTGTCTGAGTGCTGGTTGGCTTGAAAGTGTGTGCGGCCCGCAAGGGCACTTGCTCGTTAATTGGGCCCTCAGGGCCGGTACTTACCTGTGGCTGTGACATCGAGGGATTGCAGCAGGAAAAACACTCAAGTAGCGGGTAGGCCGGTACCGCACCCTGAAGGGGTAGATGTGCGGGTACTGGAGGCCGATCAGAGGAAGACAAAAGTGGCATTTTTTAGAGGCCCAGTAGTTGTAGGTTAGGTCTAGGTGGATACCAGTCCAACCAGTCTGGGTCTAGGGCCTGTACGGGCAATATCAGAGTCTGCAATGATGTTTCCCTCCGAAAGGGAGGAAGTACTGGTTGCTTGGAAGGCCGAGCGGCCTGGAAGTCACCGCCCGAAGAGGCAAGCAGGCCGCTATATCTCCCAGCCGGGCGAAGAGCCCGGCCTCCTTTTCGGTGTGCAAGTTTGGCGACACACTGGTGGAGCGCTGGCTGGAGCAGCGCTATGCTGGAGCAGCGCTGCTGGGGAGGAATGAGAAGGACACGAGGGAGGAAGAAGGAAGGAAAGGGGAGGAGCGCGAGGGGTACTTACCTGGCTATGGTGGCAGCCATCTTCATCACCTTGGTGGGCGCCGCAGCAGGGAGTCCCCAACTGGGGAGAGCCACACCAAGAAGCTTCAAGGCAGGGTTGGGCATGGCGGCCTGAGCTAGAGCAGCCATAYCTGCTTTGGGTTGTCCTTTGGGCATCTGGGCAAGGCCTAGTAGTCCGCCATAGCCTCGGCCTATGAGCGTGAAGAGTGGGGGAGGCGGCCATGGCTATGGTGGACCTCGAGTGATACCTGCAGTAGAAGAGGGACTCGGACGTTGATTCTGGATCAGCTATTCAACATTGTATTATTATTTCTTGTATGAATAAGAGAAGGGGGAGATAAGGAGGAGGAGATTGTTGGGCGAAGAAGAAAAGCCTTGTCATTTGTCTATGCTGGTGTATGTCATCTTCTTCTTCTTTCTTACTTCTTCTTCTTCTTCTAATCCTCTCTCTTCTCTCAAGTTCATTCATTTCTTTCTGCAATTGGGCGCCACTGTACTATCTGATGGATGTGTATCTCGAAATTGGCCAGGATCTTAACACAAGGAATATGAGTGTGAACGATATACAGAAAACCAAGTTGCGAAATCACACAGATGTCTGAGTAGTCGTGTACAAGCAGAGAGTACAAAATGCACCGAGAATACATCCACATAGAGCAATACAATGAAGTAATGAGCCAATGTCCAAGCCCGTAGGCCACACCAACACAGTATCCAAAGTTGCTCCTCTCTGTCTACCGCCCAGCGCCCAGCCTACTCTACTCGCCTATCCTACCTACAGCTGTGTTCACGCAACAGGCTCACTTCGACTCTCGAAGACCAATGTACATGATGTCAACACCATAGCCGACCTCTCTTCATGCACCAGGTACGTATCTCGTCACCCTCATCAGACCTTGTTACCCCACACTTCGCCTCCTTCCCTGAAAACCACCAGATCGCCCTCTTACCCCCTTGGCGCCCCGCCGCCCGGCTATGGCCGCTTGCGTCCCGCTGCCCTGCAGCGCCCCACTTCACCTCTACGCGCCCCGTCAGCGCCCTTGGCCACAGCGCAGCATCAAGCAGTAGCGCAGCAGCACTTCCGCATTGCCTACGCAGGCCAGCATCCTGGCCTGGGCTGCCTCACTTCTTTTATCGAAGTGGCAGCCTCCTGGATGCTGCGTGTGGCCTGGCTGGAAGCTTCCAGTAGCTTCCGGTTGGGCCTCAGTCCCTGCGCCCAGGCCCGAGCCTACAGTTGAGGGCCTGGGCCCCTTTTACAGTTGGGCACGGCCTGAGTCTCCGTACTTGGGCTGTTTGCTGCATCTGTGCAGGGCTCCCAGGTAGGTGCGTCGACAGTACTGCTTTTGCATAGGCCGATGGCCTGCTTCTCAATGTATCGGCCCTGCTTTGTGTGTATGTGCCCAGGCGCAACTGTCAAGGCCTGGGCCAACTGTACGACGCAGCTTGGTGAGGTTCGCCCGTCCATTCAACCAACTGGCATGCTGCAGGAGCCTGAATACCCACATACGAAAGTGTCGAATTTTGGCCTTTGACGAATATTCCGGCCCGCCTTCACTTAGGGCGGGCACTTGGCTTGCTGGGGGCCTTTGCCCAGAACATGTGATGTCTGATAGGGCCCCGTGAGGGCTTGTCCCTCGCATTAACTTTTTCTTGTTTTAAAAAAAAAAAAAAAAAAAAAAAAAACCTTTCTGCTGCCACTCTATTTCTCTGAAGCTACCTCGTACATCTGTGACTTACCATGACCAGCTTTCTAGAGTTCCACATAGGATGGAGGGCATGGGGAAAGGGGGAGGGCAGAAGACACGCAAGCAGAACAAAGATGCAAACCAAAATTTAAACATGAAGTCCCAAAAAGATACAAAAATCAGGAGACAAACATTAGGCTGGAGGGCACAGGGGAAGGCGGGAGGGCAGACGACAGACATGCAAGCACACCAAACAGGCAAACCAGAAAAAGATACAAGTCTTAAAAAGAAAAGCAAAACCGAAAAGAAAAGAAAAAAACAAAAGATGATGATAACAAGATTGTTTTGTCGGAGTTGCACTGACTCATCAGGAGGCTGAACCCTCAGCAATCTGTGGAATCTCCTTATTTGATGGTTTGGGTCATGAACCCTTTGACCCATGTTGAAGGCAGACTGTCCCCAAGCAGAACATAGCAGCGGGCAGCGACCCAGAGCAGCACCAGGCAACGCAGTGGAGGCAAGATGGCTGCACATCTCCAAAAAACGACCGCAAGGAACAATACGTCACGCATGACACGCAGCGCGGCAACCACAAAGTGAAGCACAAGGCAACACCACCTAGGCACCACATCGCAAGGGACGACAGGACGATTGGACGAGTAGCACAGCAACCATGCGGTGAAGCACAAGGCAAAACCAACAAGGCAACCAGACTACAAGGTGCACACTCAAAGGATACGCAAGGCACGACTAGCAGAAGGGTGGTAAGGGCAGCGAAGTGCAAGGCAACACCAACAACACGGCCATACCACACAGCGAACACAGCAGCTTGCCAAGAATGACCTGCAAAGCAAGCGGAGCGGGCAGCAATGCAGCGGCGGAGCGCAGACGAGCCATTCCGCACATCCAACAAGGAGCAAAGTGGCACATCACCTACTCGCATCATGGGTGAACCCCACAGACCATTGGTTCCCACCACCCACTGAGCCAGGGAGTCACTCCCACAAACATCCATCTTCACCCGTAGGGCAGACAGACGTCCCGAGCTGAGTGGCCCCCCTAAGAGTGTTGTAGGCACTCCGAACAAGGAATGACCGACTGTTTGGCACTGCTTGAGGGTGCTCAGCTCGGCACACATAAAAATGGAAGAAAAGCATACAAAAGAGAGACAAACAAACATCCATAAAAATGATTGTGTGTGTGTGTGTGTGTGTGTGTGTGTGTGTGTGTGTGTGTGTGTGTGTGTGTGTGTGTGTGTGCGTGTGTGTGTGTGCTTGACGCATAGCCCCTCTGGCCCAAATTCGTCTGATTCCAGCCTGGCTGTCTGCTCAGACCTAAAACACTCTGGCCAATCAGAGCACACACACGCTGTCAAATCGTGATAGCCCCTCACATGATTGCATCCATCCTCTGATCGCACCGGCCTGGAATTCATGACCTGTTCCTGAACAGTTACATGTCTTCACCATTCCGTCACCACATGGGGTGCGTGCAGTGCATATGGTGCCCACCCCACACTCTATTGGTTGCATATCACCATCAGAACTTAGGATCTGTTAATCGCACGGGGACGTTTCGAACTCGTGAACTGTTTCTTGCACATCAAGATTCGAACGCATGATCTGTTGTCGATCGCAAATCAGAATTCGAACTGATGATCTTTTTTTTTTTCTTTTTTTTTTAAATTCGAACTGATGGTCTGTTCAGTGCACAATCTGGATCCGAACTCATGATTGCAGATTCAAGCTTGCACACAAGCCTTAGGCTGAAAACCACTCAACTTGAATTTTTTTATAATTTTTATTTATTTCTTATTGGTAAACTACCATCAGTTGTTCGAAAATTTTCTGATTAATGTACTATGCTAAATTATTATTATGATAATTTATGACTCACTTATTACTAATACTACAGAGAAATTATCCGAATTGATTAGAATTGTTAAGATCAATCTCGACAAATTCATTGTCCGCGCAATAGATTAAGTCTACTCATTATTCTCTACTATCACTACCTCCTTAACGAAAGTAAAAAGCTCAACTAATCTGACCATCGGAAACAGAAACGGCTGCTGCTGCAAGTCGATGCGTGCCATGGAACAACACAACGGGATGAACACGGAAGATCCAAATGGGTTCCTTGGACCGGATGGCATGTCGGACTTGCAACTGGCTCGTGACCAATGCTTCGAGATCGGTATTCTACTTCGCAATCTGAACATGGGTAATGTATGTGAAGAAGATGAAGACGAAGACACACTGGAAATGGACGCAGATGAGGAAGTAGACCAGCACACAGTGAAGTGGATGAAAGAACATGCCGTGGTTATCTCCTTCGTCCATCAGGATGAAGATCCAATCCCACTCAACCTCAAAAGACAACTGATCAGAGTCTATGAGGCTGCGTGGGTAAAGGACAACAACGGAGCCGCTGTAATGCAGAGAGGTACTCTGCGAAACGAAGGAGCAAGCATGATCTCATATGTTCCACCAAAACAGGAAATTGCAGAATTCTTGATTAAAAAAGGATCAGCAAAGATCCCACTGGTGGATGAAGGTACAGAGTACCTACCCTTCTTCTCTCGGTGGGAAACAAAGAAAGAATTAGAAGAGAGAAGGAAGAGAGAAGGAAGAAGAAGGAAGAGAGAAAAAGACAGCAGATTTTGATTGATGGGACTTCGTGTCCCGTGGCGAATGGTTCCCCAAATGCATACCTTTGTGCAAACGAAAATCGGACCGATCCTCGAAGAGTCTCAAAAGGAACCAGAGTTGTCACACGTTAAATTTGACGTCCCCAACTCTGTCAAACACAAAGTGAAGAAACAGTTTTGACTCAGATATGCAGATGGAGATGCTCATACAGCCATGCTGGTGGTGGTCGTAGGTGGATTGAATAGGTTTCACCTATCTTTTCTTTTTCTTTTTTTTTTCTTTTTTTTAAACAAAACAGAACCCTTGGTTCTGGCTCCTGCCATTCTGGGGAGCAACAGTCCGGTTCCTCTTCCCCCGGCAAGTCAAAATAATTACAATGAATACGCACCCACGCTCCTCTCCATTATGGTTGAGAGGCCCGAGTAGCCGGCATTGATTACTTCCTTCGGGAAGGATGTACCGTCTCTCACCCCTGCCTACGTTAGCCTGCCACTACTGACTCTGAGATTTGAGAGCCTTCTAATACTTAGTTCCTCTGTGCGCAGTGCTGTCTGGAGACTCTGTGAAGTTTCGGTCCTTTCTTACTGAGTGCTGTCAGCTGAACCTGGGTACTAGGGTCTTAGTTAGGATACAGGTTTCACCTATCTGATTCGTGATTGGGAGGTTTTTTGACACACATATTCTAGTGACTTGGTAGAGTTTGAGTAGTGGACCATGAATGTTTCTGAGTTTTCCCTTTTCTTCAATTGTTCTTAACTGAAGCCGGGTAATGGCCCCGGGAGCTCAGTTTTGTATTCTGATAAGGGACGCTGGGCCCGGTTCCCAGCCGTGTTGCTCCCCACGAATAGATTGGAGCATCGTCTCAAAAAAAATAAAAAAAGATGGAGATGTTCATGTTATAGATATCGTTACACAGTAAACTCCCTGGTGTGAAACATGCCGCTGGTTTTACCACAGGATGGCAGATTGCCCATACAGAGACCATCCTGATCAACCAAAAATGGAACAATCGGATCCGTCAAAATCCCAGACCCGGACAACCGAAGCGAACTGGACAAATACATCACAAGAAAAGGGTGGGAGGGGAAGAGGAAGGGAAAGGAGAGGGAGTAGAAGTGACAGGAGGGGGAGGGGGGAGAGGGGAGGAAGGGATGCTAGACAAGCAACCCCTAACCCCCCC